TGAAGCTCATAAAACGTGAAATTAACATCTGATTCCATTCAGACTTGGCAAATATCAAATTTTCTATCAGAAAAGAATCTGTTATAAAGATGGGAAATTTCGGTCCACCCCTTCTGGTACTTCCCCCATAAAGGGTCAAAGTTTTGAAAAACCAAAACGATCATAAAATCTGAAATAAGCATCAAACTCTCTTCAAATTTCAAACACACAAACATCTTTGCTAGCACAAGATGATATATATATGCGAACCCATTCTGGTAACTCACCCACAAACGGTCACAATTTTTAATACTTGTAGCTGTCATAACTTTCGGAACAAGTCTGCGATTATTTACATCTTGCTATATCCAAATATTTCAACCAGAAACCTGAGATGAATATGAAATTTATGATTTCGCATAAAATTGGATATAAATGTTCGATTCTGCTGTAATTTTGCCTATACTAATATTTTTATCTGTATTAGGTGAAATATGAAAATGGAATACTTCGGTCGACTATATCTGCTACCTCACGCACATTCTAACATTTTCTAAAAATTATCAAATATCTCATATAATATATTCCAAACCTGGCACTTCGTAATATTTATATCATATATGTTTAGGTCCGATACGAAATGGTGAATATTGGCCCATTCCTGTAGGACCTACCACATAGAGTCACAAAAATTTAAATAATCATAACAGAAGTAAAAATATATTTGAATAGGCGAACATTGTCCGAGTGTATACATTTGTCGGTAAAACCGACTCATACTTTTGAACTTGTTTCTTTTTATTAGTTATCACATTTTGCATTTGACAACCCGCAACAATAATAAACGGAAATTTTCACATCAAATTATGATTGAGAATTTCACCCAGATAGTCGTATTCGAGCATTATGGTTGTGGTGGCTTCTTCTCTGGCGAGGTAATAAAGTAATTGTATTTATTATGGACTGAACTCTCTGGCCGATCTGAGCAAATGGAGTGGACAAGGCGAAAGAGGACAATCGATAGGAAGACAACAATGCAAGGCTCATAAATTTTATTCCGGGTAGTTAATATTGGTATGATAATTTCTGCAGATAAAAAGATTAAAATTAAAATACTACGATGTGGCTTAATGAAGGTAGCAGAACCGCAAATGAAAACGGAGAATTGACCACAGCACATGGGACTCTATTGTGATGGGGGTGGTGGTGGTGATGGCAACAGCTGCAAATGCAATGAATGATAATTATACAAACTTATTCTCTCAAATACACTCACAAGCACATTCACCCTCTCCCCACTTAATAGAGGCTTATAAGCTAGGCCAAAAATATCCAAGTAGCTTTCGTTATCCTGCCATACATAAATTATAGTTTTCCTTTCCATACAAAATACCAAAATCACTGATTTAATTTGATTAATGAAATACCGTGCTTCGAAAGGGGGGAATCCGAAAAAGGAGGGGGGAAGGTGCTGGAGACAAACACCTTCTGCTCCACTGTTCTGCCATAAATTAATGAAATTAACGGAACTCAATTAAATCTACTTAAAAGCTTTACAACGATTATGGACAAATGTTTTGTGTTCGGCTATGTTGTGTTGTTGTTGTTAAAGGAAAAGCTGTCATTTTAATAGAACTCTACCATTTCAAAGGCTTATTCAGGATACGCGATATAAATCTTTATTTATTTGGACTTTGACACGAAAATCGTTTGATTTGTAAACAAAAGCGGAGTGGGGTAGTTGGTTGCGGTGGGGTGAGGTTGTGCTTTTATTTTGTCAGGTGTGTGGGGTGAGGTGGTGCTTTCACTTCACCAGGAAATAATCATTTGCATTATCTGTTATTTACTTGATTAAATTTCAATACCGACACCAATTGTTGTTTGTTTAATGAATCGGAACTGAAAATAATGATTTAAATTTCTTCCGCAATTGTTAATTTATATTTAAATCTTAAAGAACTTTTTCCAAATTTGAGTTAGTTGCTAATGAATATTTTTTGTATATCTCCTTCCTTACAGATGGCTGCCCCCACACTCTCAGGAACCCAAAAAATCGTAAGTACAATCAACTTCTTTAAACTTCTTGCAAACATTCTGCGACTTCTTTAATATAAAGGTACCATGTGTTTGATAACGTCATATTAATTTTTTGGGCGGTACAAGAAAGATTTGGGACGAAATGGTTGAACAAACAACTAAAAAGGGCCTAAGGGCCGAACTTTTAATACCCTCCACATTTGGTAGGAGCTTGAAAATTAAAAAAAAAATCGTCGAAAATAATGACTCTAATATCAAAATACGGAAAAAGGGAGATATCGTTATATGTAGGTTATACGAAGGTTATACGTGGACCTGCATAGACAATTTTCTGTCATAGTATGAAGTATCCATCGCGGACTTCAAATACGAAATTTCCGGTTAATGACGTCGCTAAACTTTAAACGCTTGACTTTATTGCAGTTTTCTAATCTCACCCTGTATATGGTGGCTATACGAAGACGTGGACCAATAAAGAACTTTAAATAAGAAAAAAAAAGAAACAATTCCGGTCTATAATGTCTCTAATGCCATAAAAATACCGAATATAGGGAGGCACTGTTATATAGGGGCTATACGAAGATATAGACCCGTATACGTAATTTTTGTCATAGGATGAAGTACCCATTAAGATCTTCCAATACAAAATTTGAAACAATTCCGGTCTATAATGTCGCTAAAATCACCAAAAACCGCATATTGAGAGTTACCGTTATAAGGGGGCCATACGAAAACGTGGACCGACATGACCAATAAACGAACTTAAATTGCTTACTGATGTAGTGAAAAATGTGCAAAATTTTAGCCCTCTATCTCAATTCGTTCGAAAGATAGCGTGAATACAACAGACAGACAGACATACAGATAGACATCGCTAAATTGACTTAGAATTTTAAACTGATCAAGAATATACAGGGTGAGTTAAAAAAAAACTGCAGCAAGGTCAAATGCCATAATTTTTGCATTTTTTTTAAAATTGTATTGAATGAAGCAAAAATGTCGAAAATAGCATTAAATTTTAGAATGAGTTTGGCGAAGACGAGACGAAGACCTGCATACGTAATAGGGTGTAGTGCAGATCAGGATTTTCACATACGTAACTTAAAAAATTCCGTTAAATAATGACGCTAATATCAAAATACGTAAAAAGGGACATAAATTTATATGTAGGTTATACAAAGACGTGGACCTGCATAGAAAATTTTCTGTCATAGATTGAAGTATCAATTACGAACTTCAAATACGAAATTTCCCGTTAATGCCGTTGCTAAAATCATCAAAATATCTTAAATAAGGAGGTATCATTGTATGGTGGATATACAAAGACGTGGACCAATTACGAATTTAAAATAAGAAAATGTGAGACAATTCCGGTCTCTAATACCAAAAAAATACCGAATATCGGGAGGTACTGTTATATAGGGGCTATAAGTTATTTTTTGCCATAGGTTGTAGTACCCATTTAGATTTTCCTACACAAAATTTGAAACAATATAATGTCGCTAAAATCATCAAAATGCCGGATATTGAGAGAAACCGTTATATGGGGCTGTACGAAAATGTGGACCGACATGACCAATAAACGAACATAAATAATAAATAAAATAAAAATTAAATAAACGAACTTAATATTAAACGTTAGTCCTCTATTTCAATTCGTTCGAAAGATAGCGTGAATGCAGCAGGTGGTACAAGAAAATAAAAAAATAAGAGTGGCTGCTTTACTGACTTATTTCTTAGTAAGTACTTACTTCCAATGCCATGATCATGTTCAAATTAGGGGATAGAATGAATATTGAGATTATTTTGCTGAGTGTTAATCTTAAGAAAATCCTTCTTTTCTAGAAGATGCACTCCCAGCAAACGTTCTTTGTTTAGATATTTAAAGTAGGCTTTAAAAAGTCCTTGTATTAATATACAGCCTTCAGATTTCTTTTTTAGACCCTAGTTCCCCTTGGACCAAATCCGTTTGAGTGCATTTTGAGTCGATCTTGAGATGTCCTTCCATACGTCCGTCTGTCTTGTTGGTGCGCATGATAACTCTCTAGGGTCCAAAATTGGTACATATCATATTATTGTCAGACTTTGATCGAGTTCTCGGTCCAATCCATCTGGAACCTCCCCCACAAAAGGTTAACAGTTTCAAGAAAAATAAGTTACCTCATAGGCTGAGAAAGAATCATTAAATGTTGTTCAAATTTTGCAATTCTTAATATCTGTATTAGTGCTAGGCGGTTGTGAAAATGGATAATGTCTGTCCATTCCATCAAGTACCTCCTCCACAAAGGGTCAAAATTTTGAAAAATTGTAACTCATATTAAATTTGACGTAATATTCCGATTGTCTTCAAATTACACACATCACAACATTTTTATTAACCCAAGATCTGGTGTGAAGATGGGAAATATCAGTCCACTCCTCCCCCACAAAGGGTCAAAATTTTGAGTATCCATGAAGCTCATAAAGCGCGTAACTATCTTCCAATTCCATTCAAACTCGGTACATCTCAATATTTCTATCAACACAAGATCTATTGTAAAGAAGGGATATATCAGTCCACCCCTGCCGGTACTTTCCCCACAAAGGTCAAGGATATTTATATATATACTTTTTTGGGTCTGGAATGGCAAAGTTCAAATAGTTCCATAGTTTGGTGAAGGGTATAAAAATGTTCCAACTTTTCAAAAGGAAGTATCCAATAAAGTTCAAACTTATAATGTCATAATATTTCTGACGCGCAAGGGACAGGTGCGTTGATGGACAATACGGGCTCAATTATTGTTGTAACTCTCATAAAATGTGACATCTGCCAACTTCGCATTTCCTTTCATACATTCAAACGGTATCGTTCAAATTTAGGCTTTTAGCACTTTTAATGTGATTTAACTATGAATTTTTATTTCAACAATATTTTCAATTTATGTTACAACGTTCATCAATATCTGAATAAGACAGTTCTCAATTTTGAGTATTAACTCTGACATCTAAACATAGTCCACACCAATCCAATCTTGAATGGTATTCTTTTGTTTCTCAATTTGATCGCCCATTTCCTGGGTCATTCGGAATTGTATTAGAATGAGGATGTAATTGAAAATTTCCACATAGACCTACAAGGGAGTGAGCAAAGAAAACATTTAAAATTACTTTTAAATGAAATTGGGAAAAAGGGTTGCGGAGTGCGGGACTATGGTGGGAACAGAATGGGTTTCTGGTGTCAAATTATTTTAGAACCTCAAAATATCGGAATCGTTTTAAGTCGACAAAGATTCGTGAGAAAACGCGAGTTTTACAAAAATTATCTAAAATCCGCAACCCAATTGTAAGTCATATTACCCCAGCAATTGTCTCCATATTCAATGGCATACTGCCGCTTTTGAACTCAACGATGTTGTCCCAGCGCCAGGTGAGGCAAATGGCAACCATGTCACGTATTTTCCTGCTGCCATTGTATTGGAAATCCAAATCTTGGATAATTTTGAAACATTTGGCTTCCTATGAATGAAAAAAATAGAAAAGTAATTTTTTTTTAAATAAGAAATATTTCCCGTACCTCTTTGATGGCATTTTCAGAATACACTGGACCCACGGTCATTTTGTATATGGGCAATACAAGACCCAATAAAACAAAATATATCAGAGCACTACTCCCCGAACTTGTCAAGCCACCAAAAATCAAATACAGCTCACTGGTGGTCAGAGTGAAATCATGCAGCATTATTATGATTAGACTTTTGGCAAAGATTTGATTGGTCAAGCGAATGCAATCATGATATTGTTCCACCAAATCGATTAGTTTCTGGAAACGTTCCACCAATTTGGCCTCCTCCAAACGTGGCGGTTTTGCCTGCAGCAATTTTTGTAAAAGACGAAAACGTATGGCCAAAATTTCGGCAAAATTCATTTGTATATAGAAGTTGAGGTTTGGGCCACCGGTGATACAAATATAGGCCAGGGCAGAGAGAAGATTGAGAACAATGTTTCTCAAATCTTTTGCACGCGAGATACCCAAGGCTATGATAATGATATAAATGCTGGCTGTAAAGCCTAGTAATTGTAAATTTTTCTTTACCAAAGCTTTGTAGTTCATTTTGCAGCCAAACTCCCGAATTAGCACCAGATCTAAGTCATTGATTTGTTTATATAACTTTAGATGCGTTTTGGCCTCCGCCACCATTGTTGTGGCCGTTGTCACATACATAAACAATGACATGCCAAGCTCCAAATAAATAATGGATTTAATTAAACTATCCATTTCCACCAAATAGGGATCTTGAAATTTCACAAAGGCAGCTAATCCCAAAGTTGACAGAACACAGCCCATAGCTAAGGCTGTGTAGCTCAACGATATCCAATCACAAACATATTTGTCCGAGCGACTTCTTATGCCACTGCAACCGAGCACGAATTGTATTTGACACAACAGCCGACAGCAATCGTAAATGCTTTGTGTTTTCTTCCAAAATCGATGCAAGCGGAACATATTAGATCCCTACAAATACTCTCTTGGCTGTTTGCCCGGCGACCTCTCAAATTGAACTAAAATCCATTTTTAGCCTCAAGCAAAAATATAAAGGGAATTCACAAATGCCAATTAATTTGATTAAATTTCTGCTCTACCTTTGAATGAATTGGGAGAATCGTTTTGCGGGACATAATCACAATTACGAAATCTAAGATTTAAATGTTTGTCACCAAACGTGGTTTTGTGGATGGCGGGAACTAATTACTGGATTAATTGTGTAATAATTTGTATGAAATCTGACCACGAGCATTTGGGCTTTATCAAGTCAATTATCGCCAAAGCTTTATGGGTCAAAATAAACTGCCCTGGGAAATAATTATACAAAACTGTATTATAATATTGGTAAATAGCAAAAGGAAAAGGTGACTGAGTTTGTTTTTAACTAAGGGAGGAGAAAATTTTGAAAATGAGGAACAATCTCAACTCGTCTATGGGTATCGTTAATTTTTTTTTATCGTTGGAAGATGTAAGGCAGAATATCGATAATGAGCACAGATGGTGTTACAAATATTAAAAATACCATTCTTATGGCCAGCTTCTATTTATATACCTTCAGCCATACGGCTAGAGGGGGTCTATATCATTTGGCACGGCCACAATATGCCTCGTCGAAATTACGGTTTATAACCTAGGTTTCTTTGGGCCAAATCCGTTTCAGGACATTTGGAGTGATGCTCCGTCTGTCTCTCTGGCTGGTGCGCACGATAACTTTCAAAGAGAATATCAGATTTGGTCCAAACTTGGAACATTGTATTATTATTATCAAACTTAGATCAAGTTCGGAGATGGGCAATATCGGTCCCCTCCTTCTGGTACCTATCTGGTCAAAATCTGGTCAAAATTTTCCAAAAAAAAAAAAATATTTTACTGCACAGAAAGAGAAAGGATATTCCGATTTTGCTCTAATTTTGAAAACCCTAGTATTTCCATATTTGCTATGTCAGGTGCGAAAATGGACAATATCGGTCCTCCTCAAGTACCTCCCTCCCAAAGGGCCAACATTTTGAATAATTATAACACTCATAAAATGTGAAATAAGAGTCCAATTGTCTTCAAATTATTATATCGGTCCATGCCTTCTGCAACCCCCCCCCCCCCCCCCCCCTCACAAAGGATCAAAATTTTGAATATCCATTGAGCTCACAAAACGCAAAATTAACATTCAATTCCATTCAGACGTGGTACATCTCCATCAAGATGATAGAGATCGGAACGTGTCTTCTGGTACCTCCCCCACAAAGGGTCTAAGTTTGGAATAACCAAAACAATTATAAAATCCGAAATAAGCTCCCGGTTCTGTTCATATTTCACACAACCCATTATTTCTACCAACACAAGATCTCCTGTGAAGATGGGACATATCGATCCACTCCTTCTGGAACCTTCCTCACAAAGGTTCAAAATTTTGCTCATAAAGCTCATAAAACGCTAAATTAAGAAAGCGTATCAAATTTCACACATGCAAACATTTTTGCCAACACAAGATGATATATATCTGCGATAGGGTTTCTCATCCACAAAGGGTCACAATTTTCAATACTTTTATCTGTCAAGTCGGCGATTCTTTACAAATTCCTATACCTAAAAATTTCCCTCAACCAGAAACCTGAGATGAATATGAAATTTATGATTTCGCACTAAATTGGTATTTTAAAAATTATCACATATATCATGTAAAGTGAAGGAAGTAACCATTATAGTCCAAGTCGGATACGTCGCAATATTTACATCATATATATTAAGGTCCGATGCGAAATGGACAATTTCTTCTAAAATTCCTCCATTGAGGGTCAGCAATTTGAATTATCATAACAGAAATCAAAATATATTAAAATAATTGAACATTGGCTTAGGGTATACATCTGTCCGCAAAACCGAGTGATACCTTTTAACTTGTTCCTATAGATGCTGCTACGATTAATCCAGATTTATGCTTTGTTTTTATCATTCTTTCATTTTTTTTTCATTTGTCGTTGCGACAACATTTTACTGGTCAAGACAAATTATTTTCCTCATTAATTAGATACTAATAGCGATGCCATGGAAAGCTAACGTAAATGACACGCACAACTATACTGTCAGCGGAAGAACGGAAGAATAACATGCCACAGTAGTTGTTCTGACCACGGCAACTTCAACCTGACAGGAAATGTAATGTTTTTACTTCACAACATCTTGATTTAATTTAGCATTCGAGGAGCAGAAACAGCAAGCGGGCAGCAGTAACAAATCCAACCAATCGGAAACTCTGGGGCTGATATTAATTAAAAATATCTGTAACTTCCAAGGCGTGAACCGAAGAAAAATAGTAGCAAAGTTAAATTTATAAACATTGGAGGGGATGTAATAAGTACTTTGATCATACTTGTATGTGCGATCGAATATTTTGAAATATATTCTAAAATTAGATATTTCCAGGCTCCATAATACATCATATGCGTAAAATCATGTGTTCTTGTGTGCTGTCTCATATAAGGATGTGTAAGATAATGAAGGTTATGAGCCACACACATATACACATCGATGAGTAAAGTATGTAGCCAAGACCACTTGCAGGGCTGCCTGGCCCTGCAATTTCCTCCATATTTGAATCAGAGCACAAATTTGCTCGTTTTAACTCCAGTGTGAAACCTGCTCGAGAGAGGGACCAATTGATAGACAATTGGGAGTTCTATATGGAGTTTTCTCTTCACTCTTTTGTTTTGTGTGGAAGCGCTCCCGAGCCACCTATTTTTACAATAATTAGGCGTAGGCCAAATCGCTCAAATTAGAGTGAGAGTTTGCTCATCTAAAAAAATCGAGTGGAAACAAATATTTTGCTGAACTATTTGTTGACTTGTGTGTGTGTGTGTGTGTGACAGCACCCGTCTTGATGTTCCTACGGTTCACAGAAGGCAGGGGGTGATACCGTTTAAATCAGAGAAGAGAAAAGCAGCAAAGGACCGGTGGGTTTTGTGTACAAAAACGACAAAAGCAACAAGACTATCTTATGCTTTGGTGCACATTTGCGACAATGCGTTTCAACGCATTTTTATACCCTTGAGGGTCCACGTTTTCGTATAGCCCTCATTTAACGGTATCTCCATAAATTCCGTATTTTGATGATTTATTATTCACTGGAATTGTTTGAAATTTCATATTTGCAGTTCATAACGGGTACTACAGCCTGTGACGGAAAATTGCCTATGCAGATCCTGGTGTTTGTATAGCCCTCATACATCAGTACCTCCCTATATTCTGTATTCGGATGATATTAGCGATATTATTTAATGTATTTGTGTCAAATTTCATATTCGCACTTCGTAATAGGTACTAAAGCCGGTGACAGAACATTCCGTATGCAGGTACACGTCTTCATATAGCCGTCATATAACGGTACCTCTTTATATTCGGTGTTTTGATTATTTTAGCGACATTTGCGGTAAAAATTGTTAGAAATTTCATACATGCAGTTCTTAACGAGTACTACAGCCTGTGTCGGAAAATTGCCTATGCAGATCTAGGTGTTCGAATAGCCCCCATATATCGGTACCTCTCTATATTCGGTATTTTGTTGTTTTTGTGACATTATTCGTCGGATTTTGTTTAAGTTTCGTATTTTAATGTTGTAATGGACTGAACTTCGTTACCGTATAGACCACCTTTAACTTTCTATATTTTATGATTTTAAGAGTATTTTTCATAGAATTTCTTTCAATTTCCAAATTCACACATATGTCCACATAAATAAAATAACTAAATTTAAATAAACATCCAAATGACTTATGCTTGGCGACATAGTCCCAGTTTAATGTTGTAGGAGTACGAAAATCCTTGGAAAGGAATTCCACCCACAAACCATAGATCTACAATTTAACATAAACCTTTCTATTTTAAAATATCATTTGCATAATTTGTAGATTAGGGGGCTATTTTTACAGGACTTAATTCTAATGTGCTGTTGGGTTGAAAGGGACAAAAGAGAAGAAACCGAGCAATAATCTCATTATCATAATGTTTGGTTGTATTTATGCTCAATGTGACCAATACCCTCACCCCCTTCCTAATATGGGTAGATATATTATACACTCTTTATCTATGATATTATTTATAATTATAATTTTGAGCCGTTGAGGCTGAGAATATCACATAAAGTTTCATATTGAATACAGGGTGAGATGAAAAAACTGCAACCAACTTTAGACTGTTGTCATTTCTAATCCACTCGTCCGACAGCTGTTATAATTATTCCAGTTACCGCTCATTATATTGTTGACAAGCGTCCGAAAGCATATTGGTGAGAATTTTCCAGAAAAAAAGTTATTCGAATATTTGGCTGGAAAACCACAAGTGGTTATCGCTAGAGCACTCCAGCATTTAAATGTGAATAAATGTTTTGTGTCTCGTGCCATCGCTCGTTACCTTGATACTGGTAGCGTAGCCCGACGTCAAGGACGTGGATGGAAGAAAACAGCAATATCAGCAGAAATGGTTTGAAAAATGAAGAAGCGACTTGCTCCCGCGTCGCAGTGCCCAAAAAATGGTTCGTGAGGTGAACATATCGCAATATTCCATTCGGCAAATATTGAAAAATAAGCTCGGTGTAAAGCCATTGAAATTCCAAAAAGTGCAAGAACCTACACAGCAACAGAAAGAAAATAGACTCAAAAGAGCTAAAGAGTTGTTTCGCTTGGCCGAAAGTGTTGAACTGCCTAATTTGGTTTTCTCCGTCTCCGATGAGAAAACGTTCGTCGTCAAGCAGTTTGTAAATAAACAAAATGATCGTATTTACTTTCCAAAGAGGTCAGCTGAAAATGTGCACCTTCGGTTGGCCACCAGAACTCAAGCGCCGGCCATGGTGATGGTGTGGGCTGTCATAACAGCCGATGGTCGCTCTCCACTTGTATTAATCGGCCTTGGCATCAGAATAAATGCCGATTATTATCGCGAAAATATTCTGTAGGGTGTATTAAAGCCTT